CTCTACATGCCTGTCTGCTTACCTTTTATTCCAAATTCCTAAGTACTAATAAAATATAATTACCTGCATCCATAGGATATAAAAAACAGGAGAAATTGGGTAAAAGAAAATATTAAGCTGTAATTATTAGAATCAATTTCTGTATAGTGGCACTTTTTTTCCTTCTTAAACGAACACTTGTATTGCTAAGTGTACTTATTCCTCAGGCACTAAAATCCCATTTAGCACAAACTGCATGGTCTTCTAAGAAGAATTTTTTATCTTGGCAGTAATCTTCCCTGCCGTTCTACGTGAGCATTTTTAAGTGTTACCCAGCCCACTTTATAACAGATTTAAAAAGCAAACAGGATCTGCATCTATATTGTTTATTTTTGCCTAGGTTTTTGCCTGTGTTACCCTTGATTGGTCCATAACTGACTTCACCATGGAATTCTCCTGCTCAGAGGAGACCTGCACCTTAGGAGTCCTCCTAAATTCACAGTTCCCGCTCTAGGAGCAGATAATATCTGTGGTCAATAAGCCTTTGTATAATTACAACTTGTCTGCTAGTTGCAATGATTGCAGGATTGGACAGTTCTTCTTACACTTGTCTGCCAACTCTAGTGATTTGGATTGGAAAGTCCTTCTTACAGTTACCTCAGCTTTTGTCACCTTCCATTTGGATTACTGTAACATGTGGGGACAGTCCTAACAAGCATTTGGCAGTACAACTGATACAAAATGCAGCAGACTGGGTAGTGATGGATGCAAATATTTTGGTTCATTTTAACCAGGACAATTTTTATGTGAAGCTAGAAATAAATTGTTTTTGTTTCTGAAAGTTCTAACAGAAATAATGTTTCTGTTTTGTTTTGTTTTGTTTCACCAGGACTTAATATGTCTAAAGGATCAAATTCATTAAATCAATCACATGGTACAAACAGCAGTTCTGTGGCCATTGCTATTCTTGTGCCTTTTTTTGCCCTTATTTTAGCAGGCTTTGGATTTTACCTTTATAAACAAAGGTAGGTGGAATATACATATATTTTGTATGCATAATTATATGTGTGTGTGTGTGTGTGTGTGTGTGTGAGAGAGAGAGAGAGAGAGAGAGAGAGAGAATGATTTTGATGTGGAAAATATTATTGCATGTAGGTCTTCTTTAAACCCCTTGAAGTTATTAGGAAATCCCCAAATTTCTACAAATTAAACTGCCTTGGATAAATAGTAGTTATAAAAATTATGATGTTTACTTGTAACCATCATTGTTTGCTGTCTCAGCTATTTAACCTTTTTTTAAAAAAGAAAAAAGTATCATCTGAACAAATCAGAGATTAATATTCAGCTTCTAAATTTCTCCCATTGCACCTCATGCCTACGGTTACATACTTTAGTAATCATGTTCTCCACCAACTCAAAAAGGCCATCATTATTTGCATTATTTATCTTCAAAATTGTTCAGGAGTTTTTTGGTGGTCACTGATATAATAAAATCTAGGCTGTCTGGAGAATGTAGGAGGTTTTTTTGACCTAATTATGGAATCCTGTTAGGTTCAACCAGCCTTCTATATCATTCTGCCTATATTTCTAAATATCAATTCAGGAAAACTATCAATTCACGTTAAAATAATATATAATTAAATCAAAATATACATTGCATATAAGAAACACAAAAGAATACAGAAACTTCATACATCCTGAAAGGTATTTATGATGTACCTCTCCCTTTTCAGGTAGTGATTAAAAAGATATATAAAAGTAAAGGAAAAAACTCTTATATTTCAAATTGTTCTGACTGAAAAGCAAATTGTCATTAGCACAACAATCATGAAATAACAATGCTCATCCTAGATTCCAATAACCTACATCAATAGGATGATGAGACACAACCCTAGTTATGTGTCCATAGCAATCTCATCTTGTTCAGGTCATACTGTCAGAGGAATTTCTTTAGGGCATGGGTACTATCTAAATTGTATTTGTGCAACTGTCCCTGGAGAATGAGCCACAAGACTTATTCCCAGGAAGCATAGAATAGAATTTCAGGTCAAAGTTGGTTTTTTTCTCTGTTCTGAACAGTGAAAGTGCCTAGTTCTTCCATCACTAGTTTAGCTCTAGACATTACCACCACCACTTTTTTCTTCAGCATGACCCTTGAACTGCCATTGCTCTTCCCCATAGTTATGCCTTTAGTTCTGATTGCTTCTTTCCCCAAAAGATCTCAGTATAAAATGGTTCTGAAATAAATCTGTTTTACACGGAAGCAGAACAAGGAACATTGGGCACCTTTCCAATGCCAACTGAAGCCATATCTTTGAGTGGCAATGGAAGCCAATCTCTTCTCAGATCTCTACAATGCTTTAGCATTGGTATTTGTCATGATATCGTAATTGGCTGCGAACTAGAAATATTGCTTTCCCTTTCTGGAATTAGAATGTCTTCTAGTGTGACCTGTCTTTCCCAGCACACTTACTCTGCTTTGACTGTTAAGTTTTAAGTTTTATTTAATTGTTTAAACATGTGGTTTGCAGGAACCAGTTAGAAAGCACACTACTTGATGACAAAAGTCCACTCTAAAAGTTTACTGTCTCTGTTCCTATTAATGGGAACACATTTGAAAAGTAAAAAGAACATCTAAATGGTGTTGACTAGTCTGTACTATGATGCACTGAACTATTTATCCTTTGTACATCTTATTACTTTCTTCATAATAAATTAAAATCACCTATGAAAAGTATCCCATCTAACTTCCTTTTACAATGGTCAGAGATGCTTCATAGATAAGGCCATTGTTTTACATTATACCTTTACTTTCAGTTTTTGGAATTGCTGTAAATTACTGCCCTTTAGAGAGAAGCAACATATTGAAATGTCTTGATGCCTTGGAACCATGCAGTAATAATGGCTTTGCTGTGTACTTCACATATTGCCTATATTTTGTTTTTGACATGTACAGTATTGTGAATTGTATTCCTGTATAATTTATCTTACATCAGCCATAAGTGCCATGAACAGTTTTATTACAGGCAGCTGTTGCGTAGCCATCATTGGCAATTCAGCTCTAGGTTTATGCTGTCATTACAAACTTTTGTCCAACTGTTCTTACCTAGGAGATAGTTGTGTATAATCTTCTTCCAGTTCATTTAAAGTCTTGGGGGTTTTGTGAACATTTTAGTCCTATCAGATATGAGTAATGAGGTAGGCTAATGTTTATAAATGTAAGCTTCCACATGGAAATGTGCACATCTAGAACATAAAATAATGAAGCCATAGTGGCTCAGTAATTAGAATGGGGTATTGCAGGCTAACTTTGCCCACTGCCAGGAGTTCGATCCCTACCAGCTCAAGGTTGACTCTCCATTCTTCCAAGGTCGTAAAAGAGGACCCAGATTATTGTAAACCACTCAGAGAGTGCTGTAAAATACTGTGGAGCTGTATAGAAGTCTAAGTGCTATTGCTATAATGTTATTTTCACACTGTAGCAAAATGAATAAAATCCAAAGTTATTCTGTGCTTTTCAACTGACACCCCAGAATTATTTAACAAGCTCCCTCTGCCATCACCAAATGCAATAATGTAAGGCTTTAGAGAACTGGAACAATCTTTATTGTATTGTTGTATGTTGCCCAAAGTCATTTTCCATGAGCAATTTAATTAATAAAAAAAAATTCTGAAGTCCACCATCTCAGGTACAGCTTTGACCAATACATTTGCTAAGAACCCTTCCTCTAAGCTGTATGACTGTGCTAGGCAATAGCAGGATTGTTACTAGACATTCAGTATAGTCATCCAGTCTGCGTGTCATAGCTTATAGATAATATAAAAGAGAATCTCCTGAAGCTTTAGTTTAACTATGTCTGACTTTCCTTCAGCTTAGTCATATCAGATAAGGGATCAAGTAGAAACTTTGCTTTAAGCCTTGGAAGCTTTGCAGAGATGTACCATATGGGTAAGTGCAGAGAAGTACTTTGCTACTTGCGATGCCTGCCCATAACTATGACATCTTTCTAGACTTGGGCAAAAAGTAAGCGAAATTTTCAGCAAACACTGCTATATTAATTGGTTTCTGGTATATCAGAATTGGACTGCTCATGTTGATTCTTATCTATAAAAACGTTTATAATCTGGATGCAGGATTTTTGAGAGAGACATTTTTTTCATCCAAAAATAAAGATTCATTATTTATATACATCTTTAATATTCTGTGTAACGTTAAATAATTTAATTCATGGATTGATATAATTTATATTTTCACTTAGTATGTTTGGTCTTTTCTGCACAATGTTCTCTAGTGTTGTTCTCCTCTGTGAGAGCTATCAAGATAGTACGCTAGCATAAACATTTGCTGCCTGCATTTTCATCTCCATTCTGCTATGTGGCAGATGATAGATTCTGTCTGTAAAAGGAGTGGGGTAAGGATGGAGGCAGGCTAGAAAATATATTTTTAGGTACCAGATCATCTGCAATCAATTTTCCAAGGAATACAGAATTAGCACTAAAGGAGGCATTATCCCTTACTTCTCTTTTCCCATTTTCTTGCCAGCCATGGTAAGAGATACAGAAGATAGCAAAACACTCTCTTCAACACTTCTCTTGGTAGGTTAAGTGGAGGGAAGCAGGACAATGATCTATGGTGGGCAGAAGATGTGCTCCCTCCTTGACATATATAGGGGTGTATTTTGACACATGTCCACCTGTCTTTCAGAAGGCTGATGGACACATATCAAAAAGTACACCTTTCCAACCCTCTGAATCAGACTCTCCTGTGTATTCTCTGCTAGGGCTAGGTGGATAGGCTTACCCATATCTGTAGTTGACAAGTAAGTAGTGTCTTCTCTAGACATGCATGAACAAACACACAACTTTGATCATTTCCTCAAGCCCTGTAGTTTGGGAATCTGCTGCTAGGATCTGCCAGTTGTCAGGAAAACTGGGAGGGTTAATTGTCTGGCATGACAACAAACCCCAATTCTGCTGTCAAAAAATGGTTGGCTGTAAAAACTATTGATCACAGAGGCTAAATTTATCTCTGATGGCAAGGATTGTGTTAGCTGAAACGGAAAGCACCACATTGATACTAGAAAAGAAAAAAAAAGAAAGCATTGTAGGTTGATTTCACAATGGGCCAGGGGTGATTGAAAGATGAACTAGCCCAGGGGCCTTCAAACTTGGCCCTTTTATGACTTGTGGACTTCAACTCCCAGAATTCCTCAGCCAGCATACCTGGCTGAGGAATTCTGGGAGTTGAAGTCCACAAGTCATAAAAGGGCCAAGTTTGAAGACCCCTGACCTAACCTGTTTCTATTCCTGAAATGTATCTTCCAGTCATTGTTAGAAGCTCCTAAAAAAGCATCTTTTCTTGAAGCACATTTCCTTGGAAGCAAAATTATAAAATTCTTTTACCACGGTAATCCCAAAGGTGCTTTATCAAAAGATGCAGCTGGGCTTCCTTGTTTTTGTTTTGTTTCATTTCTCATCCAAGTTCTAAAGAAGGTTCTTGCATGAAAAGCAAAACATTTTCAAAGGGGGAAAAAAGCCAAGAAAAGTCCAATTGCCTTTTGGGAAAGCACCTTTGTGACAACCATGACCCCGGATGATTGAGAATCTTCACAGACATTTTACTACAGTAATTTTCTGTTCTTACATGCTGATTTATGACTGTAATAATCATTTGATTTAATCTTCTGTTCTTCTGCATTTCGCCACAGAACTGCACCGAAAACACAGTACACAGGTTGCTCTGTACATGAAAATAACAATGGACAAGCTGCTTTTGAAAACCCCATGTATGACACCAACGCAAAGTCTGTCGAAGGGAAGGCTGTACGATTTGATCCCAACCTGAACACAGTTTGCACAATGGTATAACATTGCGACGTCCTGACTGCAGTGGTTTGAAGATTGAAATGTGACATAGTGGACCTCTAGTTCACTGGTTTTTAAAAGAAAAAAAGAAAAGCAAAGCACATTTTTCAGGATTTCCTGGATCACCTTCTCCTGAGGATGAGACAGAGACTAGAGTGGGTTTCTTTTTTTTCATAAATATATATTGACTTCATGGTTACTGTGGAGTATTTTACAGAACGTCTGCTGCACTCCATGAGTGCTTATTCACAGTTTATTTGCTTTTTTAAAAAAGAAGATTATTCTAAAAAAAATAATAAAATAATAACATATTTGCATATATTGGAGGAGCATCCACTATCAGTACGTCTGTGCTTTATGAACTGCTAGAGGGACTGGATTTCAAAGAACAAATTATATGTGATAGGAATTAAGAGTTATATTTACGGGAGACAGCAAGAGCCTATGGCTTCTCTTTAATAGTCACAGGCAAAATCATTCCATCACATCGGGTCTTTAATAACATTTTCCTCTCCTATCTCCCTCTTCACTAACCATGAATTCCTGAGATTATGCCATGATCATCAACATGCTTAAGCTTGCAAACACGACCCATTATTTCTGAGCCACAATGGGAAAATTAAGTGTCTGGTCTCAGGTTCTTTTAATTCACGAGTTCCATTCCCTGCTCTGTTGTTCTTTCTTAATGTTACCTGTCCTATAGTGATCAATTTGTCAGCGATAGAATAAGATTTGAGAAATGCCACAACTGCAATTATCTTGATTGCTGAGATCTATTGCAAAACTATATATTTCACATTGCCCCTCCTTTTCCCAGTAGTTCAATTTTCTCCAAGTGAACAAATGGCAGATTAGAAGAGTAGCATCCCACATCTGGACAATGAAGGTGACTAAGTGGTACGTTTCCCATCTCACTCTATCATCCATTTCATCAATTTTATTTCTATACTGTATTAAATGCTGGAGACAGACGTGGTCATCATGATACCATCAGTTTGCAAGTGCAAAAATGTAAGTTTCAGCCCATTGATGCCTTTGATGCATTTCTCAAAATTTCCAGGGCTTCCCAATTCTATGACAGGGATCAGCATGATATCCACTATGGAATATGCTTGTGGTTTTTTTTTTCCTCCCACAAAAGTTAGTGTGAAGACCTACAAGTCTCCATGCATCAGATTGTACACAGATTCCTGGATTAGGGGTTAATCTCTTAGCATTGCACTCTCTTTCTTTATTGGGAAGTACATAATTTCAGGAGTGCATTTACCCTAATTAAAAGAAATTAATTTCCTCTTTAATTTCCTTACATCTGCAATTCAGGTCTTGGTCAAAAATCATCACCAACTTCTATCATTTTGTATGATAAAGAATCTGTCCTGAGTTTGCCTGATTCTTGAATGTAGCCTATGATTTATACACAAACGTGTACTTTTTTGTCAATTTTAAAATGTACATTCTGTGTGAAAGGTAATTTTGGCATTACAATATTAGTCTCATTATTATATGCTGTGCCAAGAAATAATGGGTTTCAGTAAGTGCACTGAATGTTGGGCCAAAGCAATGCCACATATTTCTATAGGTACAACGGGTGCTGCCAGCACAAATATTTTAAATAAAGCCTGTATAATCTAGTTCACAACCCCATTAAGCTAAAGTACAATCAATTACAATTGAATGGGTCTGTTTAATTCCAATCAGGAGGTTATTTTCTTATTGTTTTAAGGTTCAACAAATCATAGTAAGTTTGTTTTCAAATGTACTTTAGAATTTATGTTGTGGAGTTAAACCTTAAATGACACTTGTTCTATGGCAGTATACAGTATAAATTACAGTACAGAAATGAAAACGCTCATTTCTCCAAATCATACTTTCTTCTGTCACCTTTGAGATTCCATTGATCTGTTTCACTCTCATATAAAATAATACAATTTTAGTTTAGATTGGAGTTTTATAACTGAATTATCAAAATACAGTTTGAGTAATGTCCATATCATTGTTCATTGTCTTCCTTTGATAGCATGAAATGATTTTGAATTCATCAATGCTGTCCATTAGCTGGTGTGAATTATCTGGAAATATTCTTTTCTCAGATACAAACATCTCTATGGGAATAAAAAAAAATTTTTATTAATGTAATAAGAGAGTGCCTATTGCCCCAAAGGATCACATGTTTCCCATTTCCATCCTCCAATCTGTATTAAACTGAGAACTGCTGCTTGGATTTCTATCGTGTTTGATGAATTTCTTATAAACCATTTTACAATGTTTTTTGTTTTTGTTTTTTGAAAATTACATCCATCTTTCCAGAAACTGTCTTCTACTAAAAGAATGCCATTTTTATGTTTTATACCATCAATTTGTTATTTATTCTGGTTTATTCAAATGATTGCAATAATGATGATTCATTCATTACTGTTAAGGTTAATATTTGAGACCTTGTTTAAAATCTTGTTTCTTCTGCAACTGGCTACTCCTCTTATATTAATGCATACACTTTTGTAAAGAAGTCTATTTTTATGAAAAAAAGGGGATTTGTAAAAGTACGATGTAAATTTTCAGTGCAATGTAAACAAATAAAAATGGATAATTGCTTTTGTAATATGGAGTGTGTTTTATAAAAGATTTAGAACTATAACAGCTGTGGAACTTGGAGTGAAGTCAAATTTGTCAGCTAAGCACTACAACTTTGTGGGAGATATGGCATTTCCTTGCTATTGTGTGTTTGTGTTTGTGTATTTTGTGTATGTCTGTTTGGGTTGCTTGCTAAATGTAAAAATGCTGTAAAGATTTTAAATTACTTCTGAAAATATTCCAGTTAGTAAACATCGGTTATAGATTATACCATTAAATACAAAGAAGCAATTTAATAGAATGAGAATAAATTTTCAGCCAATATAAATTACAGTATGTTCATCCCCTAGCTCTAAGTAAAGATCCATTATTGAATTGATTGAGATCAATAAGCTGTTCTTCAAGCTTAGCAAAATGCATGCAGTAGAATAAAGCTGTATTCAGGAATTGTAAAATTAGATCTATACTTCATACAATAACACCCTTTCATGATTTCATTCAAATGAAGTCTAACATTTCAGGTCTTATGCTATGGAAGATAATAAGAATTTCTTATTATGTTCTTTTAATGCTATGGAAGATAGTAGAGCGACATGGTGTCCCAGTGGTGAAGTTGCTCGCCTGCCATTCGGAAGGTTGAGAGTTCTATATTTATTGATTGGTATTCCTTTAGATGCTCTTTAACATACTGTATATCCTTAAAGTGATGTAGTGGCTACTAGCTTGGCCAACTTCAATAAAGAGTTGGACCGATGCATTGAAATCATGTGCGTCAATATTAGCCTTGATGGCTATGTGACTGCCTCTATAGACCATCTGCTGACTTCTGCGTGTCCTTGTGGTTGGCCCATGTGAGAACAGACTGATGGATGAGGTGGGTCAAGACAGCAAGGCACTGCTTATGTTTTTATTAGATTACATTTGACTTAATTTGTATGCCAGCTACTTTCAAGGTTCAGGTGATTCAGGATTATAAAAATAAGGTAGACACTACCAGTTGTTCAATTTCTGTCTACCTCAATTTTCAAATATAAAATTAAAACATTTAGAAAGTTCTCATATTACGTTAAAGAAGGAAAAGTACCCAAAGGAATGAAGGAAACTTGCACTGCTCGTAGAAAGTTCCCAAATTCAATTATTTCCTACCTGATTGCATGTTTTTGAGATAGAGCTGATGTATAAAATGGACATTCAAATGCTCTAGAGAACCTTTTGGTAATGAAATATAGGAAACTCAAAAGGGCAAAAATAAGGAACTGTTCTTTTCCTGCACACATTTGCTTTTGGTATTTAATTTTTGTACCTAACTATTTTTAGGTGACTCTTGATTTCCAGTTTCACCCAGGTTGACATTTTCCAATTTCAGGTTTATTTTTCATTTCTGCATTATCATAAATTATACTCCCTTTTCAATGTGCGGATTTTAATCAATATTTGTATAGTATTGTTCTTAATACTGTATATCCCATTCTGAATATTGTCTCAAATACAAGGCAATGTTGTATATCGCTTTTTTCCAACAAGACATGCATTTGTTATGTGTTTTATCTGATGTACATTTTTATAAACAAATGGATTCATTCTTTGGGTGGTTGTGCTGAAATCACCATCACAGAAGTCAAAAAAGTATGAATAACAATGCATCACTCTGTTGAATTGCAAATAGGTTTAGAACTGCTTTGTAAAGATTTTTAAACTGTATCAAAACTTAAGATATTTTTTTCATTATGTCATATGAACTTGTGCACTGCAAGAATATCTAAAAACAATTCAACCAAAAATATTGGCATTTTCAGATAGTCTCTGAATACCTTGGTTTAGCATCTATCTATATTTTTGGCTATGTAAGGGTAAGAGATCCAATTGAATAATTTTCTAAATAAACCCTTTTTCATAAACTCAAAAGAAAATAACAAAATAGGCTGAAAAAGCTCCTTCTTTTAATATAAATCCAGTTCTTTAAAATATTTTAAATAGTCATATAGAAAAGCAATTCCTATTCTTGTTAAAGTCATTTGCTAAAGTGTAGAACAAACCTCACAAATATTGGCAAAAGCTGAACAGTTGAATAATAAGGAAAGAAAAGACAACAATAGAAAAGTGGCTTCGCATATATTTTTTTTCTTTTCATATTAATTTCTGCTTTGGCAGTGGGTAGTCTAAACACTAAAACTCTGCAAGGATATGCATCTCATTTGCTGCCACTCTGATGAGCACATAAGAAAGGATCATTTCCCTCCCCCCCCACAAAAAATGTATATAATAGGCACCATTTTGCAGATTTCTGTAAGTTACATTTTACACCTGCAAATTGTGTTAAGATTTATTATTTTACACCCACTCCTCATTTAGTGACTACCCCAGTTAGTGACCATTCACAAATACAATGGTAATGAATGGTAATAAAAAAATCATTTTCCAAACAATGAACA